ATTTATAAATCTAAAATGACAGAAATATTTTAATTTTTTTAAAGTGATAAAAATATTTGTTGAGCAAATTTCTTCAGCTGAATGCATCGATGCATTCAGCTGAAGAAATTTGCTCAACAAATATTTTTATCACTTTAAAAAAATTAAAATATTTCTGTCATTTTAGATTTATAAATAAATTTCATTCATGAATGCTTGTTATATTATATTGGACTGCACAAGGAAGAGCACATTTGCTCGATGAAGCTCAAGCAGTTTACGCAAATTATTTATGCAAATCGGTGAACTCAATCTAACAATTGTTGCCCTAAGGCACATTGGTCAATTATATCATTGACGAATGGAATAAAGCATGGAAACCACACCAAATATTATTTATAAAAAACCATTGGTTTAAATAGCCATTGGTTTTAATTTAGAATGTCAGTAAAAATTTCCATTTTTTTGCACCAAATTTATTGAAGTAGGGAGAGAACGCCAAAAATTTTGTAAATAAATAAACGTGAAAAGTGAAATTTCAGTTAGCGAAATTTAAAAGCAACAACAATGCAATGCAAAAGTGAAGTTAACGAGCAAATTATCCAAGATGGAAAAGAAATATTTATTGTTCAAAATGTAAGCAATAAAGAAAGTATATTTCTGATCAAATTCGCTGTTAGCGCGGTTGAAACTTTTTAATAAATTGCTTGAGGCATAAAATACAGATGGGCCTCACGTATTATTTTTTAAATTTGTCTGCCATGCCAACGACAGCATTTCAACTTTGATAATTGCTGCTGGATGATAATTCAAAACAACAAACACTCAGCTATTTTGCCTCAAAATGAGATTTATCTGCTCAGTTCAACTGATTTCATTTTAATTTTTATGAATATAAAAACAACAAAAATTATTTGCATAAATTCAAAGAAAAAAAGGTACAGCAAAAAATAATGGAAATTCTTATTTTGTGAAAGCGAAAAATTCTATTAAACATTAAATATTAAAAATTTTTAAATATTTTAAATATTTTTATATATTTTGTTTTTATAGAAGCGATGCAATAAAATCGAACTTTTACAAAAGCAAAAAATCTTCACCATGAAAGCGTTTCACTTTCATCGCTTTATACATCAACTTTGACCTCAGATTCCCATCGAATTTGAATTGGCTTGAAATTCCAAGTTGTTGGTTGTCCGTAATGATTTTCAACGATGTCAGTGGTTTCCCAACTGAAGATCTCATTTAATAAGGAAAATTAACAGTAAATATAATAGAACCAACGGCATAAAATAAATTGAACCTGAAAACTGGAAGTGGGTCATAGGTCGGTCCACCCCAAGCGTTGAAAGCTAATCGCTTGAATAATGTGTAATTTGTTCCCTGAAATTATTGATTCATCAACGAAAGCTGAACTGCGACTTTGAAGTACCTCATTAATTGAAGATTCTTATAAAATTATAGGATTATCCAAACGTGTTCTTCTTTCGTCAAATGACTTCTAGGCTCTATTTTCTAACATATTAATAACCAGCGAAGTCAGCCTAATCAGAAATTATAATTTGGTTCATATAGTGTGTTGTAATGAAATTTCTCATTATGAGACTATAGATAATCATTTTTAACGGAAAAAGGATATTATCTATTAGTTAAGCGCAAGCAACATAGGTTTTATCTTATTTGACGTGAACTTTAACTTGATTTTAACTTATCATTTAAAGTAAAATCCGGGTAGAATTTATTTCATCTTCTATTTCATCCACCATATACCCGTTCCAAAATTGAACTACACTGAAAAAGGCTTGGCTCCACTATTTATTAGGCTTAAAAATTCTCTTTACATGTCCAAAAATAATTAAAGCCATTTTTTTGTCGCCTGAATCCATAAATCTCTGATCTTACTTTTCAAATTTTATATAATATCCATGTGGAGATTGATTAAGCCTCCTTGCTTTTGAAATTGTTCCTCATAAAGATTGACATGTGGCGAGACCTATGGCACTAGATCTATAATATAACCAACGTTGCTTTGCTCCACAATAAAGCTAGTGATGCATGTAATATTTAGCGAAGGTCCATGCAAAATTAAGATTAAACGCAATGTCGTCGGTGAATGGTCAGTACTAGATAGCTTCTTGATCCTCCATTCTCATGATCCTATGTAAATATAATAGAATTGTACTACAACGAAATACAAATTTATCAAGCTTAGTATTTAGTAGTCTCTCGCTCTGTTAATAGATTTGGAGATGTTTGAAATCAGGCATTTCTTCATTTGATAAGATATTTAATAAAATCCGAGACATAAGGCGACAAGATTTTGCTGTCATTCACAAGATCAATTTATTTACGCTATATTTGTCGATTTGGCCTAAATTCTGTTAGGAGACCTAATCCTTTGGGTATCTATTGGGTAATTGAGAATTTTTGGAAAAAACCTCGCTTAGAAAATCGAAAGGTTGCATCATTTCTCCATAAATAAATCCGCACGTCAACGTAAAGGGCCTAATATTTTCTTCGAAATACCTTAGCTACGATCGTTCAAGTCGAAATCAGCGATATAGCCAGTGAAACATACAACGCTGCCGGTATTTGAAGCAAATCTCCAGTGCCCTTCATAGCAACAATATAGCTTATGCCTTCTTTTAGTTTAGGATTAGGGAAAAAGGAAAAAAAAAACTTTATAGTCGATGGCTCCGTGATTGCGATGTCCCATTGCTGCTAATTCGTAGGTTCCATTACTAGGATTTAGATCGCCACGAGTTGAAATACTTGCTTCAGCTGTATACGGAGGATTGCATTTGCATCTGCTGAATTCTTCATGCGTATAATCATTATATCTAAATTAATTATTAATTAATTAACCTATTGACGTTGACTTTTAATAAACAAAAATAAGCCAACATAGTGAGTTTGGCTGTCCATTACAATTTTTCAGCCATTCGTTAAAACACTAAATTAGAATTTTTTTCCTAAGGTTTTGACGATAATAATGATCCCACCAACCTCATTAATTTTTGCAGCGTTTGCGTATCCTTAACAAAAATATGATCGCGACGGAAGATCTTTGCCCTTGGGCAATTATCGTAGTTATACCAATCATACTGTTTCCCTTTGTCTTCAAATCCACTCATTTTTTGCACATCTTTTAGGTATGGAATATTATAGCTTGGCCAATATCTTTGTTGCTTGAAAAGGGATGTTATATCCTGAGCAGATACATAGCCTCTAAATAATTTATCTTCTTCGAAGTTTTTTCTATATTTTTAGGAATCTTATTTTGATATAAGAAAATATTTTCGAACTTTTCTACTAATTATTTGTATATATTATTTAGGTTATGGCCAAATTATGTATTACTCAAGTTATATGTCAAGTATCATGTTTCGGATATCACGATGGCATGGGTCCATTCATCTTAGATGCAGATTAAAATAAGGAAGTGATTTTTGTCAGACTCATCAGTAATTCTATCTCTAAATGGCTCCTCTGAAAAAAGATCCAACAAACAGTGCATAGAGAGACGCTTAACTAAAAGATTAGCTACTTCTTAGATGCAGATAACGATGGGAATCCATTCGCGTTTCGGAAGTTGTCCAAATAGCAAGCGCTATGAGGTTATATTATTCTAATTTCCTTTAAAAATGTGAGCATCTTTTATCTTTTTTGCTTTTTTTATGCATTCATTCTTAAAACAAATAACAAAATTTTCGGGGCTAAGTAAGTAAGTAAGTAAGTTCAAGGAAACTTACGGTACTTGTTCAAGAACCCAAATCATATTTTTGGAAGGCAGGCTTTGACCTGGCTTAAACATTTTGTAATCGAGTACTGTCCACTGATTATTATACGTCCCAGAATTGTATTTAGCAAATATTTTCACCCATTCACTAGCAGTGCTTGAAAAAATAATTAAACTTTTATAGATATCTTCATAAAAAATACCATATTCAAGACTGATGTAATCCGAAGATGTTTTAATTTTTGAAATAAAAAGAATTCAAGAATTCAGAATTCTTTTAATTTTCAGTGGAATAATTAATGCATTTAATATTAATACATTTCCAAAATAAAAACATAGGTTTAAGAAAGAAATGAGCAACTGAGGAATAATAGAGAACTAGTAAAACTGAGAACTAAAACCAATATATGGTAGACGAGTGGTATATTATTTCAGTGAAGGCTATGATCTCATATCAGCTCATATTCCATCAAAATGAGAAAATGTTGAGATTTTTGCCAGACTATAAGCACAATAAAGCCAAACCAGAAATGATGAGTACGGTTAGAAGAAAAATTCACCTGGCTAAGCTATTCGCTATAATACTTCTCAACCAACAATGCAACTGCTTTTGCGGTTTGATATATTTCTCAGAATACAATTCTGCATTAAAAATACTGATTGTTGTTTCCATAACAGCCTTCAATAAACTATAATGGAGAAACGAATCTAATCCATCTTAATATTATTATTATTCACTTCAACATTTTTTTATACCAATGACCATCTGCCTGATGGAACTTACCCAACCTTTCATCGAGGTTTTTTCCGAGGAAGAAAAATGGATCGAGTACAGTGGAGAAGTAAAGTGAAATGAAAGTGGCTGTGTTTTTGATTGGCAATAAAATATGGCTTGTAAAATTATGCCACAAGTATTATGGCTTGTTATCACTGGCTTAGTTAACGAAAATAACGCATTTCATTCGAAGAGTATGGAAAAAAAGCAAATCAAGTAAATTTTTTCTTGTCTCATTAATAAACCTATTGAAATCTATCCGAAGCCTTCCTAGTGTATTTTTAGACGCCTAGCCAGGGGCCTTTCTTTTAGTTTAATTGCAAGGAAATGTTTTCTGCTTTAATTATCCTCGTAAAATTCAAAATTCAACAAAAGGATAGCTCCTTTTAAAAAATAACCAATCCAGAATTGATAAGAACAAAGTCATCCAGAGACGCAAGTGCGCCGGGATATCCAGAAAAAGAGAATGTGTTTCCAGGAAATTTAGATGAATCTGAAACCGTGTCAATTAATAGATTGCTAATGGATTTTCCCTATACTGTTCATTTTTTTGTGGAATATTGATTTATAACTAATTTTGGTTTAATATTGCTTTTAGTGGATTGCTTGATGAAAGTTCGTATACCGATGGTTTTAAAATGGAAAAAAGTTACTAAAATTTTTTTCGAAAAAAATTAATAATTTGCTGCTTTGTATTTTAACTTCTATTAAAATCGAGCAAAATGAGCACGGTCCCAGCCTCTTGACGGGAAATAACTAGTGCCAAGTAGCCACCTGTACTTTCGATCTTAAGTAGTTCTCGTTTATTAGTAAAAAAAAATTGTAATTGGTATTAATATTAATATTAATATTATTATTAGTATTAATTGGTATTAAATGAAAAAGTATTTAGTATACCCAAAAAAAATTTCATCGGTAAAATCACTCACTGAATCCGAATTTATAAATCTTAAGGATACGGTTCATGGTATTGTATCCTGACATTGCAACGTGCGCAAATAATAAATCTTCATTTTTTTCGGTGATTTTGATGAAACCTGAGCATTTTCCTGCGTCAATTTCCGTTAAATATCCTTTCGTCTTATTGAAAAATTTCGACAAATCAATTAGCTCACCAGACAATTGCAACATGCTAAAAAGCAACATTGGTTCGCATGATGGAAATGGAATTATTTATCAGTAATTTCAAACTGCACAATCTTGGTAGTGTTTTTAACTGCGTTAGAAATATTAGTAGCTATTAGGACAAGGCGAATAATAATATGTCAATTAAATCTGGATTTTAAAAATGGAATTTAGAGGTAAAATTTTAGTAGCATTTTTCAAAAATTTAGAAAATTCTGTTCAATTTAATATTTGAAATAAGAATTTACTATATGGGAGTGATTCTGAATTCGATCGCCGGCTTAAAGTGGAAGATATGTTTTCTGAGATATCCGTGATAAATTCCACTTAGCTGTGCGAATGTTAGGTTTACCTGAAAATCAGATTTTTCCGAAGGAAAGCAGCAGAAAATGCGAAACCTAGCAAAAATCTGAAAATTGCTTTCATTCAACGTTTTTACAATGTTCTAATAATTACTTCTCATTTAAGCTCTGAATTTATGGGTGATCCTGCTTTGTTAAAAAAATCTTTTAGAAAATTGATATGACAATAAAGTTAAAAATGTGGTTTAAATCGAGATGGATCTTCGAAAAAAAGTGCGAAAAATTCACCTGCTTCCAGTATTGATCTGCTGGAGCCTGGATAGCAGTTTTTTTGATCCAGTCAAGATTTTCCTGCAAATAGGAATATAATCGCTTGCAGAACGCTTTATCATCTTTGCATAGTTCTTCAATTGTATTGAGACGATGGTAATGGATCAATTCTTTCGTAAGAATACCTAAAAACAAACAAACAAGAAATAGGATAGTTAATTATTTTAAGGAATTAAATTCCATAATAAGAAGCGAGCTTTTTTGGTTCATCAGCTACGAATGCTTCTTTAAAGAATTAACGTTTTCTTTCCAAATAAGAAATGCAACTGAAAGTTATCCAAAAGAAAAATACTAAAATAAAATAAATATGTTTACGAGGGAATATTTAGTTTATAGCAATAAAATAGATTTATACCTTCAGCAAGGCCTGCAGAATATGCTTGCAGTTCCTCGCTGTAATTGCTAAACGTCTCCACCTCGAAAATTCCCCACCTTAATAATCTTTATTAACTCTTCGTATATTTTTCTTTTTTTTGTCTCTTATGTACTTAATTTCTGCTTAGTTCAGTATTGAAATTTGTCTGAACCTCTCTATGGCTATAGGGTTTTAGTTTGAAAGTAGGATAGTTAAATGAATTAAATGGCATGGTGAAGTAGCATCAGGGGTTCTCTTCTTGTTCCTTAACAAGAGTAAAAGGAGTAATCTTGTATTTATAAGCCAATCAACGGCCGAAACAGAGATGATTGGCTTGGCTTTGTTAAAGGAAGAATGATTATGGCTAAGGCTACGAATTTTCACTGGAAGCTGCCTGGCAAAGAATCAGTAAAAAACCATAATTTGCTAATTTCGATCAAAAAATAATTTCATAATACGGATAACATGGATAGAACTACACTTCTCAAATACTTCCTGTATTATAAAAAAAAATTTTGGGAATTAAAAACCCAGTTTTATTAACAGCATTCTTGAATTTTCCAAGAGCGATTTGATTGTTTTTGTGACATGTTTTCCCACGCACTGTATAAACCGTTCGAACTGGATCGTGGCAAACGCTCAGATATGTGTAAAAGTCTTGCTGAAAAATTTTTTCAAAACCACAAGATATTATTGAAAAATAACATTATGAATAATAGAAATTAATAAATAATTAGTCGTTTTAAATTTGAAGAAATATCAATTATGGATATTTCTGAAATTAGATAAATTAGAAAGCTTCTGATAAATTTAGGCAATATTATGAGAATTGTATGGGTGGTGGTGCTTATGTCGCGTGGTGACGGAGCCTAAATGCATTTCTATCACCAAGTGATTCCCTGTCAGCAGAGCGAACCTAAGCAGAATAATATTCTAACCAGAATATTTAATAATGTTAAAATCGTAGTGGTCAATAAAATTTATTACGATAAAAATGTGTTGTATATTGTTAAGGGAAACAGAGGTGAGTCAGGTATTTTATTCATAAAATCCAGAATGTTTTAGAAAAAACATTTGGCTCAATTAAAGCAATTATGTTGGCCTTAGAAGGCTTTGACATTTGGCATTTTTTAATCATTAGCAGTTTTATTCTAATCCTTCAAATATATCATAGCTCTGAGTTTATTTGTTGTAACTAAGAAATAACAAGGAGAATGAAGTTGATTTGTTTTGTTTTGCACTGTGTTATTGCTAAGGTCGGCACTTAGTCATAAAAAATAGAAATACGATGGTATAGCTTTTCTCCTCATTATTAGGCAACTATAAGACCAGAAATTTCCAGTCGTTTACTAATTCATGGCTCAGTTTTTCAAACTTTTTATCTGATTTTCATTAAATCAGATCAACTGTCTGGCTACATATGAGTAAACGTAAGTAAATCGTTAGTGTCCACTATTTCTAGCTATTTCACTTGCTAACTAGCAAGATGAGGTGATTTGTCCTGTAGAGAATCATTTAGATATATTCATATGACTCCCCAAATATTGCATGTTTGGCTATATTATCCCTTAGACTTAGTATAACTGTTGATAAACCACAAATGTTGCTAAATGTTGATTAATAAAGAAAAAAAGAATTTTAAAGTTTTTTTCTCACCTTTTCCTCGTTATGTTGTTTTTCATAGGAAATATCGTTTTCCTTTATGGACGTTTCAGCGAAACAGTTTAAAAAATATAGCGAGATTAGGATAGTTAACTGGTTCATTTCATTCGCTACAAATCGTTTATCTTTTCTTATCGGTTGCACGTTTTCTTATCTCATTGCTTATCTCATCTGCTAACCCAGCTGTTTCTCATTTAATCAACTTCTTGCGATATCTTTAAATCAATTAATGATTAATTAACATCTCATATAGTTGATAGTTTCAAAAGAAAACTCTTTAAAAGTTTTGAAGAAAAACTTATTTATTAAATTTATAATATAAGATAATCCACGATATTATAAAGCAGAGCTTTAGCACGCTTAACATTTTAGCCAATTGCTTCGCAATAATCAGTGTGCTTAGCCATAGAGGCACTATGGCATCTTTCATAGGAATAATAATATATTAAAATATAAATCTTACTCATTGCAATTTTATTATATTATTTATCTAATGAAAATATTTCGAAAATTATATCGCTTCTTATAAAAATATAAAAATAATTCATAAAATTTATAAAAGCACTGCCCTTATCTTTGTTTATCACTGTTTAGACTGATTTGGAATATTCGAAAATTACTGAGTTTACTGATATTGTGGAAAAGTTATGAATACCGTTCAGTATGAAATCAAGTAGGATTCCATATCGAACATGTGATAAATTTAAATATAACGTGATAGCGTCTAAAGCATGGTGGGAATTTTAATGGTTTAAACAATACGCATTTCGCCTCTCCTTCAGGTAAATTTTATAATCACGAAAAAAATGATAGAATTTTATTTCAAATTAGAGTGACATGGGTATGTAATATTTTCAGTAGGTAAATGAATAAAATTGCAATTCAGATTTTACAATAACTTTGCATATTTCTATAAATTTGCATATAATAAAATGATAGGAAATTAATTTAAGTTGGCAATAAATCGACTGATTTGCGAAACTGAGAAAAATTCAATGCAATGGAACATTGGTTTCAAGAAGTTATAACCTATTGTTGATTCGCCTGTGAATTATGTGAACCGATCAATCAATTAATTTTAAAAAATTTCACCAAATCGTCGAAACATCTCTTTTGGAATCAAAAAAAATTTTCCAAGAAATTTAACTGATATAAGATTCATAAATATGGTAAATTAAATACTCCTTTGCTAAATTCATTATCCTTATCAGTACACTTCTCGAATTTGGTTTCTAATTTGGTTTTACAGAGTTATAGAGTGCTGAAGTGCAGACCAGTCCTCGGCATCATCCAGATTTTGCCTTTTATTAACAGGTTTACTTCCATCAGTTGAATTCGAACGGCATAATGATTAATTCAATATCAGTACTATCACGGCAGTACTTTTAACACCATTACTGGTTAAGTTTCTATTTCTTCTTCAGAAAAGGCGCTATATTCAATATAATATGATATTATATTATGGACTGACTTGCGCATCACGAATGTTCATAACAAATCAATCGCATGATTGAATTGAATACTATATGGGGAAGCACCTGGCTCTGATGAGCACCAGTTCTTATTTCATAAGGATCTGTCGTTTCTCGTACAGACATATTTCTCTGCCGATGTTTCTCGGATGAGAACATATAAAAAAATATTCATTTATTCTTCATAAGATGTAATTAAACTTTGCGATTAATGTAAACGTATTGCGAATTGCTAATTTACAATGAGTTAATTATTTCACGAACAACAAATAAACAGATAATATTAACTTCAAATACGAAAAGAATAAAGAGTGATAACGGTGATAGCAATAAGTAAAATTAAATCAACCTTATCGGCTGTAATCGGTAAAATATAAGTAAGATGGGTGCGATAGGTCTAATGGTCCTATCTTCGAATCATTAATGCATTCTTTTAAGAGTGCGCATAATTGCTGGTTAGGCTTGTTGAACCAGATAAATTTTGTTAGGTCATTATTAAGTCTCATTCGGCGATAGAGGCACAGGAGAGTCGCTTATTATCATTCAGATTTTCGAAAGATAGATTCGAGGATTCTTGATGTAGAACCTAAGCAATAGCACCCTGAACTGAGCAATATCCATTAAACCATTCTACTCCTCTTTCCTCTATTCCTCTTTGCCTGCACAGTTCGGCAACACTGCTGCCCAGCGAACTCTTCCTTTGGCGTGATTCTTATTCGAACCATTCTTATTATTCATGGCAACGCACCAAGGAAGGGTTATTTACGTTAAAGAAAACGGATTTTATGATTTTTGATTTTGTGATTTTTTCAGCGACATTTTATTATTCTCTTCGAATTCCGTTTGAATCGTGAATTCATTTATGGTACCCATTTCGGGCATATTTCTTAGTTCAATTTTAAGCATTTGGGAGCCTTGGTGGCCTTAAATTATTTAGGCACTTCAGTTCAACTTTAAATTTATCCTTTGTTGCCATTTCTACTAGGCTTTCCTTTATTGGAGCACGGCTGAAATTTATAAGTTTACATTTTATGATTTAATTTTTAATCAATTTTGAACGAATTTTTTTTATTCTTTTTTCCATTCCAGAACGATAATATTATTCGACCATAGAAATTGTTAAGTGTTGAACTTTGACTTGTCGGAAACATATGCGTGAAGCTCAAAAGCCTACCAATTTACTAATGCGCCTAATTAAAAAATTCTAATCTTATGGGAAATTTATTGAATAAAGCAGGTTTCGATTTTGGAATCACATGACTGCATCGCGAAGATTGTTTCTCTGTTGGATCATATAAACAAGCGGAGCATATGGTTTTATTGATGCAACTTTTCTTTCAGTAGCTTCCATTTCTATTGGCATTAGTTGTATATTTTCACATATGTGGGGATGTTGAGCACGGAAAAAGGCATGGAATGCCATTGTTGTAGAGCACAGTGTTTTGAATCCATGAATCTTACTTGCACAATCGATAAGCGGATCCTTAAAAATGATATGCACAGTGCTGTGTCCTGGATTCTAATTTGTCATTATGAGATCAATCAAATATGATTGAAGGGGGCAAAGATTTATCTAGGGAACTTGATGGGTAATAGCATATCAACAAGTAAGCTCAAGTTAGCATCAATGAATCAAATTCAGATTCTATTCAACGTGCAGAGATTTCAAATATAATGAAAATACGATAAAGAATTCAAGAATTCAATAAGAAATTTGTAAATCGTTTGGTTATATTTGCACGATTTGCCATAGACTATGGTTCAAGAACGATTTAAAAATCTTGGCTGTAGAACATGAAGAAATTTTTAGCAAAGTTCTAGCAAGGAACAATGGAGAAGATATCGCAACATGAACATGAACTCATTTTTATTCATGCAAGTAAGACAATTATGACGACAACGTGGCCAGTACGGAATTTATGAGCAAATAATTAAGCTTTTGTAAATGCAGTCAATCCCTTACCTAGAAATATGACGACTATTCGTAACATTCCTGCGAAAATAAATTTACAGGTAAAGTTATTTGAGTGGCTTGGTTACGAGGTATAACTACAATATTTGGTAATTTCTCCACTCTACGTCAGGGAATACGATAACTTTATTGATAATGAAAGTAATGCTTGAGTAATGAGTAACGCCGAAGAGATATCTGAAAATAGTCTCATAATGGAACGATGAGATATATCTACAGATTTCTTCAACAGTATTTGAGTATGTCAAGGAGCTATCCTGTCAATTTATCAATTTATCAATCTCGAATAGATTCAGAAAGGATTTACGACTGCAGTCGAATCGAGTTCATAGTGACAACGTATGAACTAAGGTGGTCTGATCAGCGCGAAATGGCGCTATATCATTTATGATAAAAATTGAGGTTGAAGAAATGTGATTTACTGCTACTTTTAAACGTTGGTAAAAGCGTAACTCGGATAAGCAGTAAAAAATGTAATGCAAGATTATTGCATTTTAACGTTCCATTCCACTTAGTATGGAGTAGAAAAAGAAATCGTTTCGCAATGATCAGACATTAGGAAAATCCATAATGTTCCTCTCATTACCAAGTACCAATAAAATCAGTGGGAATGGTTTTTCCAGGATTATTATTTCATTAATTCCTATCTATCCCTCTCTTAATTCCCTTCAATCATTTTAAACCTCTTTTTTTATGCAAATATCATATTTTATCTCCAAATTTTTTCAAAAGCTACCTTCGCCTATAAGACAATATATATTTCATTCTTGCAAGCATTTCATGTGATCCCACTGTGCAATATTTGTATAACGTGTCCATTTCCGAAATTAGTTTGCATATTTTAACAATATAGTCTTCTAATTTCGAGATATTTCATTCATAATTGTTATTTTCTTCGAAAAATTTTCATTCGGGAGAAATGTTGTTAGCAGCTGAAGTTCCGCAACATCCTGTCTTTGTCACAGTCATCTGTACATAAAATAGGGGTATACATATTGATGACCTTGATACTTCAGAATTTCCATGAATCGGTCTTAAGCAATAACTCTTTCTTTTATGTAATCAGAGTGGCTCGGGTTCTTCCAGATATGGCTGTCCCAAATTATCCGAAACATCAGAATGAACCAACAACAATAACTATCTCTGCTTCGAGCCATATATAAAACGACATATTATAAAAATATTAGCTGACTTTTATTCATAATCTGTTCGAATTTTAGATTACATGACAAATTTACTCTCAATGCGACAAAAAAAACGGAAATTTTTATCGATAAAAGTAGCATTCAGTATCATCAATATTAAATTAGTTTTAAAAAAAACAGCTATGAGAACTTATCATTGTTTGGGCACGGAGCGCATATCGTGCATAGATGAAAAGTTTACTAGGTAAGTTTAATTTTTGGTTATGCTATGCTACAATTAGTTATATGGTGTGGAACTTAAGGGAACTTATTCACAATTTTCTGGACTTCGAGGAACTCAGCGCCATTTCGAGGCTCAACTATATAATTAAATTAATTATAGAAGATCGAAGTTAAAACTGTTAATTCATTCTAAGTACTGTAATGTCATCTGTAACTGTAATGTAGTCATGGACAACATTTTGAATGCTTTGGACGACACTTATCGTCTAAACGCAATATTTTTGATATTTACCGTTAGCGACAAGTCATTCGGTGGTAATCAACGCTTTTTCACCAGGTTAGGTTAGGTTTCTTTTACAGTTTTATAATCCTTTTTAAATATTTTTGCTATTAAAATTTCTTTTTTTATTTCAGATTATAGTTTATATATAATTTATAAATGAATTTTATAATAACTAATTTTGATGATAATTGTGAAGGATTCATCAGAAGTGCAGTTTCGGTAAGGTTTTGGCCAACGATCTGATTTTTACGAATAATGACGAAAATAACTCAACTTTTTCTATCAGAAACTATCGATAAAGAAGGGGAATACTAAAATGAATGCTGAAGATCTTGTCGAAATTGTTAGCCCGGTCTGCACGCAGAAAAACAAAGAGATTGGAACCATGGCGATATTTTGGTGCAGTGGTTGAACACCGTTAAACACCAGGCGTAGCATCAACAAGCTTCACGCAATCCTTAATCGCTTTTACATGGCAATGATTAAAATCGAACAAATGGAATATAATAAAGATAGGTGTGTATGTACACTGAAAAATGCGAAATCATCGATCACCCTTTTTATGTGCAAAAATTGTGTCATTGGCGACCCAGTAGAGGAGATTAATATTTATTCAATTTTTAAAGGGAATAAATGGAAAATTTTATTGCCAAAGCAATATTTCATGTTTTAATCGCTAATAATTTTATTATTTTCATATTATTTCGTTTTATTTTACTTTTTTCCTTTTTTTCTATATTTTAATAAACTTTATTTAAAATTTTAAAAAATATAAGAATTCTTTAAATTAATAAAATAAGGAATCGTTGTTTTTCATAATTATTTTCGTCGATAACAATTCGCCGAATTTAAATAAATTTAAATATTTAAAATGTGTTCGAAAAGATAATTGTGATTTATTTAAATCCATTTGAATTTTTTTTGGGCGCAATTTTTTGAATTCTTTTTATATTTTATTTTTTTCCTTATATATTGAATATTTTAAATATATTGCCGAATTCATAATTAAAAATTATCGCGCAGCTCGATTGTCAACATGAAATGTTTAATTATACAAATGCTAAGCACTATTAGTTGAATAAAAAGGAATGGAAAAATTGCCAGTTTTTGGAGAAAAAATCGCTTTGCTGATAAAAATTAATATTAATATTTAACGAAATAAAAAATTAATAGAGATTTAAGTGCTGCAAAAACAGTGGGAAATTGAATAGTTTCAAATTTCTCGTTTTTTCCTTAATTTATTCGTTGAATTTCTCAGTTAAGCATCGTTAATAATTGAGAATATTCATTTTATGAATTCGCAGCCAATTAATTTTATTCGTTAGAAATCGTTGATCATCATTTTTATCGCAGTGAATATATTGTAAATAAAGAGATAAACAACTGATTAATGGACAAATAATTCTATAGAAATATTGTTGAACCTAAATAGAAGCAGTTTTTAATCAAAAAATCTGCTCTGATAGGATCGTATTGCATATCTTTTCAAGAAGATTTATTGATAAAATTGCGCTTATGTGAAGAGCTTTTCTAATTTCGTTGATGGCCATTATCACTTCATTATTATTATTCGTAAAATAAGGTTCAGAATCCAGTTGAAAATTAGTTTTTTTCTTTTCCTTTTCACTTAAATAAACCAAATCATAAATTTTGAAAAAATCCTCACCGCGAAAGAGTTAGAATAAACCACAAAAGGATTAAAGATAAATGGTTTAATTTTTCTTTCTTCGATGAAATTATTGGTCAATGCAACGTTGAATATTGTAAATTCAGGTTCAGTTTTTCTCTTTTCACGCGATAGAAATGAAGCTAACACGAGTAAGCAATGTGGATTACCCAGGGATTGGAGAATGAGGGCACTGGATAGCTGAGTTTGTGGTAGTGCCGTCTAAACCTTCGAGCAACCTCAAATGTAAGCAGTTATGTCCAATCTAGGATTAGAACGTATAGATAAAGAGGTCGGATTAGATTTAAGCTTTGTGCTTGAGAGGATTCGTCATTAGCATCATTAGGTGTTAGGCTTAGACTTAAGACTTCAACATTAAGCTTTGTTGCATGACAAAACTTTTATATTAGTTGAGCTGTTTTGCAAGCAATATTTGCTTGTTTGTATTACAAATTTTATAAAGGAAAAAAAAACAAGCGAAACCAGTAAAAAAAGCGAAATCTATCGCAAATATTTTTTATACTATAAGTTTTCGAAGATTTCTGCGAAATATGAAAGAATAATGAAAAAATTTCCTTAAAAAATTGGCGAAGCTTCCCTAAGAATTTTCTTAAATAAACAAGTTGTTCACGATGAGAATTAAATTTGGCCAACTTCATCCATCAAATTTTATATCATCCCAATTATTCGTCATCTCTCTTATATTTTTCACTTCAATAGAACAGAACAGATGCTTAATCAACGATGGAAAATAATCCACAGAAGTGGGCTGATGAATAAATTCCATCCGAATCCGAAAGCAGTTTTTTTCTTTTTCATTCGTTATTTTCATATTTCATGAGACATAACACATTTCGTGAGCCAAGAAAATTCAATCAGCTATTCAGCTCATTACAAATACAAATTATATTTCAAATCCTTCGACTGATAGAACTTTTCTTTGGTTCTCTGAAAAATTCATTGAAAAAAAATGGTTATGCATGTGAAACCGAAGGTATTATATGTGATCAGACGAAGGCTGTTTTGTGAATTTCTTTTCTCCACATATTTTAAAATAATTTTTGGCACAGCGCAAAGCAAAGGTAATTTAGTTCCACAATAATAACAGTTGCGTTCATTATCTCATAATTATCTCGGATGCTCGTATGGGACAAATTATGAATGATGAAAAGTGCTGCGATGGTAGAGGATATAAAGAGATTTTGTCAAATCTTCAGTATGTCCGTTCAACCCGGGAAACCACAGTTTGATCGTGGCCTTTTGGTGGAACTAAACGTGTCATTAAAAGAAAAGTCAAAATGATGCTGGAAATCCATCTATATTTCTACCTCCAAGTCAGTCTCTCGCGAACAGCCAGCCTAGCAGTCAGAACGGTGAATACTGGTAAAAGATGGAGAAGACGAAAAACCTGGAGATGATGCAAGGCAAATAGATTTCATTAATGGTGAGCAGTACAATATTATGAGAAAATATGAAGAGATAAGGATAAAGAAAGAAAAAGGAGAAAAGGAAAGGCTGCGCTGGTGACAATGTCTAGCAGGCAACAACTGTGGCTCCTTTGGAAGATAAGCATCATTCCTCGATCAGAAATTTAAATTTTATAAGCGACTTTTAAGAATTGTGCATCGATCGGTCTATCGTTGTTTACTTATTGTCTTTTTGACCTTTCAGTTATGTTGACCTCAAGTACTTGCGACTCGTTT